CTTTATATTTTTACCCATTTGTTTGAGTGTTGTTTGTTTTATTTTACCTTTAATTTCTGTCATAAAATCTTGAATGGTCACTTATCCGGCTTGTAAGACTTACTTACGCTCAGTATATAGGCTCCACTCATACATCAAACAATAAAAACTGTTTTTTTTTTTTCCCTCAAACAACATCATTCATGACCATTTATTAGGAAAAAATATAGATAAAACAATAACAATTTTTTAAAATAACCTTTTTTTGATTGACCACTCATACACTAAATTTAGGCAAGTCTTGTCCTGTTGTAAATAATACTTTCTCGATAAGACTGCCTACACCTTGTGTATGAGTGATCCCATACACCAATCCAATCAAAAAAGAATTTTAAACAAAATGTTACTGTTTAATCTTTCGTTTCCAGTGTATAATAAGAAAATTATTGTTTGAGGTAAAACACCATTTGTGATTAGTTTGGTGTATAGGTGAAACTTGCACTTTGATTGACATTTATATAAAGTATAGATTTTGAGTTTTGGACGGAGTTGTAGTTGTTTATGCAAAATTTGGCTATGGAACTTGCAAGTTGTTTGATGTGGTTGCATCTTAAAGATATGATGGCTTGAACTGCAATGATTATGAGTTTTACACAAATTGCTAATACAAGAGGCAAATGAATTATATTTGTCTACAACCTGTGTATGAGTGGTTTCATACACAAGCCAATTAAAAAAGAGTTTTTTAAAAAATTTTATTATTTTTTTCTTCGTGTATAGTCAGAAACATCTCAATTGAATCAAAATACAATTTATAATCAGTTTTGTGTATATGTGGGTTCATACTCCGGGCTTAGGTAAGTCTTTCCCTGATTTTAATATATATATCGCCACCCTTTTCTTAAATCAATTTCCAAAAGGGGAGATTGAAATTATATGACTAAATTTTTCTAAGTTTGGTTAAATCTCCTTGGATGAAAATTTTTTATTAGCAAAAATAATTTTTATTAAATTATATTGTCTAGGAAAAACTTATTTTATCTAAGTATTATCCCAAGCCATTAACTTAATATGGTTAATTTAAGTAAAAAAAAAAAATGGTCAAAATATACATCAAACTGGACATCAGAAACTATTCAAAATTCTTAACACAACTAATAACTAAGGTGTCGTTTGTTTTCGATTAAGTTTCTTGTTTTTTGTTTTTTTCTTTAAAAAATAAACAAAACCTATTTGTTTAAACTTGTTTAACTTTTTTTTTTCTTTGCGTTTGAGAAAACTATTTTGAAAACCAAAAATAAATTTTATGAAACCACAAATAGTGATTTACAGAATTGTATTTTCTATTTTTAATTCTACATTTCTATATTTTTTTCATTTTATAAGACTTATCTTCAAAAAATTATTGTTGTTGTTGTTGTTATTATTACTATTATTTTCTCTATCTATATAAATCTAATGTCATTTTATTTATCCAAAATAAGCAAGCATATTTTTATCTCTATTCAAATTCTCAGCTTTTTTTTTTTCTCTATATAGTATTATTTTATATTTATTATTATTTTCTCTATAGTATTATTTTATATTTATTATTATTTTCTCTATCTATATAAATCTAATGTCATATTATTATTTATTATTATAATAATTTGAGTATTAATTTTATTCAACATTAATAATCAATAGTTACTGTGCATTGAAATTTTTAAAATTAAATTATAAAATATTTTTAATTATTCATTTGAAATTTTGGATTTTTAAAAAAATTTATTATTAACTAAAATCTTTAATGACTATAAGAAAGATTTGAATAAAATATTTTTAATTATTTCATTTGAAATTTTGGATTTTTAAAAAATTTATTATTAACTAAAATCTTTAATGACTTAATAAGAAAGATTTGATAATTGAAACAATTTTTCACATTGTGAAAAAATAAAAGAAAAATAAATTTTAGAAAAATAAATAATTTTCAAAAAATAAATAATCAAAAACTAAAAACTGTTTCATGTTTCAAATAAATAAAAAACTCAAAACAAATAACTATAACAAACATATCATTGAAAAAAAAAAAAATACAAAACCAAATGCAGGTATAGCCCACCTACAACAAAGTGCCTTCACAACCAATCATTATGTGAAATTGCAGTTCAAATGATTTATATATTGTTTTTTCTAATATTATAACCAAGTAAGAAAATCTTTATGTGTTTCAACTTTCATTTTAGCCAGTAAAATGATTCTCTTCTCTATTTATAATGTAAGAATTAAACTGAACACAAAAATCCACATATGCTATCACTGGTCATGCGTGCGTAAATGTGAAATATATGAACCAATGTGTTTTGTCAAAATTATTGTAATTATAAAAATTTTGATAAAGAGTATATTGTGTTTTTGTCTCATGCATTTGTATGTTCTCCGAAAAATAAAATAAAAAAAAATAAAATTCAATGTTTTTACACAAGGGAAATATTCAAGCTTGACTTGTATCAGAGTGATTAAAAAAAAAATTATGTATTTTATTTAATAAATATTTATCATTCAAATTACATGGACATTGATGTCATTTTTATTCCCACAACAATAAAAGTATGTATATAAATGAGTGAATTTTATGAATACTGGTAAACAAAAACGCTATTCATAATTATTGCAGATGAATAGATTTCCAGTAAGATTAAAAGTTTTTAATACCCTTCATTATTTTGGAAGGCAAAGGCAAAGTCAAAATTACTTTGATTAATTTTCTTTTTTTAGCAAAAAAAAAAGTTTCATTTTCATTTCTATTCTTACATGGATGACATGTGTTTAATTGGCTCCATAATCTCCTTGTGGCCTCTAAATTTTACAGGCGATCAAACATAACCTTAATTTGACTTTCACATTTCGGTAATAACTATATCTATTGTCAAAATGAAATATTAAAGTACAAGATTATAATTAAATCGCCGTAAAAGTTATTTCATTTTAACGAGTAACATAATTATTACTAAAATGTGAAAATTCAGGATCACGATGGATCCCTATAAAATTCAAGAACTACAAAAATAATCGTAGAAATAACAAAATTAAATTTATACATTAGACTTTCCTTGGAGAGATGATACATTTTTGATAGTCACATTTACATGGATGAAAATGTCTTGTTGGCCTCATACTTTCCTTGAGTATATGACGACCCCTTTCTACATTTTCCTTATATGGGTGTAACGTATTGGGTTCCTTACATGGATGATAATACGTGTTTCGTCACCTATATTTTCCTTATATGAATGACATATGTATGGTTGTTTACATGGATGGTACGTGTGTAGTTTTTTACATGTATATATATGTCCAGCCTCTTCTATATTTTCCTTACATGGATTATGCATATCTAATTTCTTAAATGAATGAATTTGTCTAGTTAGCATGACATTTTTTCCTTATATGGAGGATACATGTCCATCCCTGAGGATTAAAATTCAAATTTTGGTAACTTTATTAATATTAAGGCACGTAAAAAAAAAAAAAAGCAATTAATCTAAAAGGTTTTTTTTAGAAACTTATTTACCTAAAAATGGTTGACTGAAAAATATTTTCACTTTATTTCTAACTATAATTATACTAAAAACAATCTTATTATATTATAATGTAATTTTTTTATTATTATTATGTTATTTATTAATCAAGCACATTTTTCAGCTTCAATTTTTTTTTTTTTTATGAAGCTTGGATCAAATAACATATTCTTTATAGTTATAGCGACTGTAACATTGTAGTTATAATTATTATAATTATTTATATATTATAGATACTATATTTATGTTACATTTTCATTACATAAAATTTATAATTTAATCATATAAAAATAATCTTAGTATGCTAATATAATTTTCTCAAACACACCTTTTAGGCAAATTGCTCAAAAATATATATATGGGCCTTTGGATATTTGGAAGTTAAACTCCAAGGATTATATTTACATAAACAATCAATTGTTATCAAAACCTAAATATATTTTTATTAATATGTATATATTCACAATTTTTTATACATTGCAATTGACTTTGGTAAATGAATTTATTGTATATTTTTATTAATATTGAAACTGAGTAAAGAAATTGAATTTAAACTTGTATATGATTGATAAAATTTATTATTTTTTATGTTTTTTAATGCTATTTTGGTAGTAAATGTTAGTTAATTAAAGTATGATCATAAATTAGACATCTATTTAGAAAAAGAACAAAAACAATAACACATCATTATACTTGTTCATGTCATTTAAGAAAAATATAGTATTAACACATCATCATTTAAAAGCAAAATTCAAAAATCATTACTATAACAATCCTAAAACTTACCGTTGAGAGCATGCGTATATAGCAGTTAATGCACATAGTTGTGAGGTAAGCTGTATTTCGTAGTCCAAACTTAATGCAATTTTGGTGATATTTGTAGAAATTGGGCCTGATGGGTCCCTAAATAAAAGATCATTCTTTTCTTAATCAAATTGTGAAAAACCAAAATACTGCATTTGAAGAACTGAAGAAGAACTCCACATTTCACTAGCCGACTTAGCTAGTTCTGAGTATCTTATATATGTTTATAATTAAAGATACGGTTGGATTTAGTGTATCTTGTGATCATTAAATAACATGCATTCTTTTCTTAATCAAATTGTGAAAAACCAAAATACTGCATTTGAAGAACTGAAGAAGAACTCCACATTTCACTAGCCGACTTAGCTAGTTCTGAGTATCTTATATATGTTTATAATTAAAGATACGGTTGGATTTAGTGTATCTTGTGATCATTAAATAACATGGGAATCGATTACTTGTCAAGAAAGGTAAGATCAAAATCAAAATCTAAGCCCTTTTCCTATTTGTACATTGATTTCCTCCTCCGATACTGATTTCCATTCTCAACTCTCTATATATACATTGCACTTCTCAATTCATCGTTCTCCATATGTGAAAATCTCTATTACCTTTATTTCACTCCAAAATTTAACTACAGAAAACGAAACCCTCATTCTTGTTTGGTTCTTCTCCATACTCTACAATAATGGTGAATCTCTTTCCCCTTTGTTTCTCTCTTTCAATTAAAGACGAGACCTCCTCTGCAACAATCGATAAAGTCTCTCCTGATTGTTTCTCGCTTCCAATCAAAAAAAGAACCAATTCTACAACAATGGAGAATCTCTCTCCCGACTGCTCCTCTTTTCCAATAAGAAAAAGACTGAAGAAAACAAGCGCAATAGGGTGTTCGACTGTTTCCAGTACTGTTCCAAAGAATGAAGAAAAGGCTACTCCAGTTTCTACTCCAGTTTCCACTGTTTTATCTCTTTCTTGCGATTATTCAAGGGAAAACAGCGACAAGAAATCGAAAATTGTTAGCCAAACTGCTTTACCAGAGGTCTCTATAGAGCTAACCCGTTTCCGTCAATCTTGGATTACCGATATTCAAAGAACAAGTTGTCAACAACGACATGCCGTCCTTCAAGAACCGGCCTCCTGTAATTCTTGCAATCTTGAAAGAATGAAATTTTACACCGCTGAAGATTTGGAGGAGGAGAGAAGAAAAGGCGTCTCCACTAATCTGAGCCTATCCTATGGTTATAACACGGTAAGTATTGTTGATAACAATCTTGACTTATGGAAAATCAAGAAGAAGCTTAATAAAAGTGATCTTGGAAATTTAAGTAGGCTGTTGATTTCGACTGACTTGGTACAGAAACATATTTTGCCTCTTCTGAGCAGTGATTTGTTAGATGGGGTTGTTAGCAGTTGTGGTATTCCTGTTACTTTTTGGGATGTTGATACTGAAACAAAACATAAGTTGATTTTCAAGAAATGGGCTACTTCAAGAAGTTATGTGTTCGTTGGTGGATGGACTCGTCAGTTTGTTCAAAGGAGGAACTTAAAGGAAGGAGATGAGGTTGGGATTTACTGGGATGTTTTGAATTCGAGATTCAATTTTTGTGTTATTCGTCGTGCCTGATTAACCTTTTCATGTATTGAGTTTACTTTGATAAAAAATTTTGTGGCGATAGTTTTGATTACTTTGACTATTATTGGTTAAGTTTTGAGTAAAGATGATGGTTATTCTGCTCTTGCATTTTTTTTTTTTCTTTTTTTGATCAGCAAATATAAATTTATTATTATTAGAAAATAGCTGAAGCAAGTAGGAAAAATCTCCCATAATTCATAATTTTATATCCAAGTTAGCAGGCTTTTCCCGTACACCCGCAAAGTCTAAACCTGAAAAAGAGAATAAAAGCCTATTGTCTATACAAAAAATAAAACCGCAACCTGAACACAACTAATAAGAGGCAGAGATAGAGAATTAAAATCAATTCGGCTTCTTTTCATGAGGGAGGAAAAGAAGCAAGGAGAGAAAATAAAACTCTACCAATCAATTATCCCAAGAGCTAGTAGGTGAGTTTAAAGCCAAGCTAAAAAAGGATTCACTTGATCAACTCCTTTCTTTGCTAAGGTATAGGCAAATGAGTTTTTAGATCTGTTTACATGGATGAAAAACACCTGTAATAAAGAATGGAATCCACTTATTAAAAATTATCCACCATTGCCAAGATCTTGAAAGTTTATTTGTGGCCCATAAAATAGCATTTTTTGAATCCGATTCAATAATTAATGGGACAGAACTGATTTGAGAAGAAGCATAAATCTCCAATGCTTGTAAAATTACAAGCATTTCAGCTTGATTTCAGACACTTATTTGATTTTCACCTGTGAAGAAGCATAAATCTCCAATGCTTGTAAAATTACAAGCATTTCAGCTTGATTTCAGACACTTATTTGATTTTCACCTGTGATAAAGGTTATTCTGCTCTTGTTGACAGCACTTGAAGCATAACGAGCTTTCATGGAGAACTATATAGGATAAAATCAAAATTTTGATTTTTGATTTTCTTGTTGACAGAACTATTTGATTTTTCTTATTATTTTCAATTAATAAAATCAAAAATTTTGTTGATAAAAAAAAAAGAAATCCTAATGAAATCATTCTATTTGCAACTCATTTTTTCTGTTTAGAATAGCAAAATTGCAAATAAATGAAAACTATTTAGGATACACATCGTAGATTTGGAGAACTATCGAGAATTTTGGTTCAAAAAATTAGTAATAAAATTTAGAACAAGAAAATGAGTCGGATGAAATTGAATAGTTTTAACGACAAAGATGCTTGTTTCTTACTGCAAAAATTGGACACAATCGACGTATCTAAGAGTTTTTCTTCTAAAAAAATGGTATCTAATTTGTGACATTCAGGAGTATACTCATTAAAACCAAAACTGCTTATTGGCATCAATCCTGTTATTGAGGATCAAGGCAAAGGAAAAAATATCAAATTAATATTCTGGTTGTCCAATCCTAATGCAATTTTGGTGACATTTGTAAAAATTGGGCCTGATGGGTCCCTAAATAAAAGACCATTCTTTTCTTAATCAAAATGTGCAAAACCAAAATACTGCGTTTAAAGAACTGAACAAGAACTGCAGATTTAACTACTTGTGAATTACTTCACTCCTAGCCGACTTAGCTAGTTCTGAGTACCTTATAGATGTTTATAACTAAAGATTCTGTTGCATTTAGTATATCTTGCTATCATTAAATGACATGGGGATCAATTACTTGTCAGGAAAGATAAGCTCAAAATCAAAATCTATACTGATTTCCTTTTCCTATACTGATTTCCCCTCTCAACTCTCTATATATACATTACACTTCCCCTTTCATCATTCTCCGTGTGTGAAAATCTCTCTTCCCTCAATTTCACTCCAAAAATCAACTACAATAAACGAAACCCTAACTCTTCTACCCTAACTCTTCTTTGGTTCTTCTCCATAGTCTACAATAATGGTGAATCTCTTTCCCCGTTGTTTCTCTCTTTCAATTAAAGACGAAACCTCTTCTGCAACAATCGATAAACTCTCTGCCGATTGTTTCTCGCATCCAAGAAAAAAAAGAACCTACTCTACAACAATGGAGAATCGCTCTCCCGATTGTTCCTCTCTTCCAATAAGAAAAAGACTGAAGAAACGAAACGCAAAAACGCAAAAGGGTATTCATCTGTTTCCACTATTCCAAAGAATGAAGAACAGGATTCTTCAGTTTCCACTATTTTATTTCTTTCTTGCGATTATTCAAGGGAAAACAGTAACAAGAAATCGAAAATTGTTAGCCAAACTGCTTTACCAGAGGTCTCGACAGAGCTAAGCCTTTCCAATCAATCTTGGATTACCGATTTTCCAAGAGCAAGCAAGAGCAAGTTGTCAACAAGGACATGCCGTCGTTCAAGAACCGTCCTCCTGCAATTCTTGCAATCTTGAAAGAATGAGATTTTACACTGCTGAAGATTTGGAGGAGGAGAGAAGAAAAGGCATCTCCACTAATCTGAGTCTATCCTATCGTTATAATACGGTAAATATTCTTGATAACAATCAACGGTAAATATTCTTGATAACAATCTTGATTTGTGGAAAATAAAGAAGAGGCTGAAAGAAAGTGATCTTGGAAATTTAAGTAGGCTTTTGGTTCCATCTAACTTGGTAAAGAAAGATGTTTTGCCTCTTCTGAGTAGTGATTTAGTAAATGGGATTAAGAGTAAAAGGGGCGCTCCTGCTGTTTTCTGGGACGTCGATACTGAAACAACACATAATCTGGTTTTCAAGAAATGGGATAGTTCAGGAAGTTACGTCTTCATTGGTGGTTGGACTACTGAGTTTGTTCAGAGGAGGAGCTTAAAGGAAGGAGATGAGATTAGGATATATTGGGATGTTCCGAATTCAAGGTTCAACTTTTCTGTCATCTATGGTGCCCGATAATTCTGTTCAGTTTCATGAAAATGATGAAATTTTGTTGGCTATAGGTTTTATTCATACTGTAACTTTCAATTTAGTATTTGCTGTTGAACATGAACTTTGTATTATTTTGATTCCAGGATTTTTTACTAAACATTTTCGGGTTAGGTTGGGTTATTTGGGATGAGCCTATTGACTTGTGTTTAGACATCTGAAAATGTTAAGTTTTTCCTGGATTTATAAACATTAATAAAATAATTAAATTGGCTATTAAAAAATTTAATGATTTTACAAGTGGACGGATATTGGAATTCATAGGAATATATGAGATTTATATTAAATTTTCAACTTCAAAATATTAATTGGGGTGTATATTAAAGATTAACTTTTTCCTTAATATATCTTTGGCTATGGTTTTACCTTAACAATATAATTAATTTTTAATTCAGTCATAATTTAATTATATTTTGTTTAGGTTAATCATAAATAGGAAAATAATAATAAAGTTCTGAATATGATGCCATGTAAAATAATTAAAGGCCATGTATAATTAAACTGAATATGATGCCATGTAAAATAATTAAATTAATCAATGCAAAAGTATTAATTTACTTATAAATAAGTTAAGATTCATAATATAATTTATTAATAGCATCATATTATAGTAAGTCTTTTGCATTGCTGATGTATAATTGGAAACTTAGATAGAGAAAATTAGGATTCTGCTATGGACAAGTGGGGTTTTGATGGTTAGACATTAAAATCAGAAATTTATAATGAGAATTGTGCAATTTTAGGGTGCCAAAAACTAAGAGGATATTAGAATTGTGCAATTGAATCGCTACAAGTTATTTTATCTCGGTGAGTGATATAATCATTATTAAAATATGAAAATATTGGGTCATGATGGATCCCTATAAAATTCAGGATTACAAAAATAATCACAAAAAGTATCAGATTAAATTTATGTATTAGACTTTCCTTGGATAGATGATACATTTTTTATAGTCACATTTTACACTTTTGTTACATGAATGAAAATGTCTTGTTGGCCTCATGCTTTCCTTATATGATGGATAATAAGTTGTGACCCCATTCTACATTTCCTTATATGGATATGACGTATTTAATTCCTTACATGGATGATAATACGTGTTTTGCCTCTATATTTTCCTTATATGGATGAGATATGTATGGTTCCTTACATGGATGATACGTGTCTAGTTTCTTACATGTATATATATCTCTAGCCTCTTCTATATTTTCCTTATATGGATGATGCATGTCTAAATTTCTTAAATGGATGGACCTGTCCAGTTAGCATGACATTTTTACGTATATGGAGGATACATGTCTTCCTTCATATGTTGATTGAAATGAAACCTGAACAATCACCTCCGTAAATCAGTAATACTACTCACCCTTATACTTCTTTGCTAACTTTATTAATGTTAAGGGACATGAAAAAAAAAAAAGAAAAAAGAAAGAAAAAGCAATTAATCTAAAAGTAGTTTTGAGAAACCTATTTACCCAAAAATGGTTGACTGAAAAATATTCACTTTATTTCTAAGTATAATTATAATAAAAAAAACAATCTTGTTATATTAAAATGGGAAGTTACTTTCTTTAACCAGAAAAATTTTTTCCGTTAACTTATTTTTTTGAATACCCCAAAAAATGAAAAATTGTGAAAAATATTTCTCTGTAAGTTATTTTACGAAAACAAATGGAGTCTACATAAAATTTGTAATTTAATAAATAATTATGTTGATGTAATTCTTATAATCATCTAAAAATAATCTTAGATATAATTTTCTCAAACACACCTTTTAGGCAAATTGCTCAAAAATATATATGGGCATTTGGATATTTGGAAGTTAAACTCCAAGGATTATATTTCCATAAACAATCAATTGTTGCAAGCCAACTTTCTTCTCTTTCAGCTTCATCAAAAGGCCTAAATATATTTTTATTAATATGTATACATTCACAATTTTTTATTCATTGCAATTGATTTTGGTAAATGAATTTATTGTATAATTTTTATTAGTATTGAAATCGATTAAATAAATTGAATTTAAACTTGCATATGATTGATAAGATATATTATTTTTTATGGTTTTTAACACTATTTTGGTAGCAAATGTTAATTGATTCAAGTATGATCATAAATTAGATATCTTCTTGTAGACTCATTATTATCTGAGCTTAGTAAATTCACTATTCAATAACATAATAAAATCAAAATATGCTGCAAACTATAAGAATAAAAGACAAAACCTTACCAAGCTGAACTTTTGAGCTCGACATTCTTCATTTGTTTGTAAAACTTGTCTCTTTTTGATTCATTAGTAGCGACATTAGTCATTTCGACTACCTCTTCCATCTCGATTCTTTTTCTCTCTGTGTCAACATTTGGGTTCATCAAACACTTCTGACCACAGACAGACCCTTTATCTGGGTACTTGATTTCGCAAAATATAAGAATACTAAAATTTGAGAAACCTTTATATCCAAACACCAGAAAATATCCTATGCAGATTGAATTATGCTAAATATCCTAAATATCCAATTTTGGTAACCTGTACCCGTATTTGGTTGTCCAATCCTGATGGTTCGGGAATCCAACCCCTAAATAAAAGATCATTCTTTCTTAATCAAATTGTGCAAAACTAAAATGCTGCGTTTAAAGAACTGAACTAAATTAAGTGTAGATTTAACTACTTGTGAATTACTTCACTCCTAGCCGACTTAGCTAGTTCTGAGTACGTTATAGATGTTTATAACTAAAGATTCTGTTGCATTTAGTATATCTTGTTATCATTAAATAACATGGGGATCAATTACTTGTCAGGAAAGATAAGATCAAAATCAAAATCTATACTGATTTCCTTTTCCTATACTGATTTCCCCTCTCAACTCTCTATATATACATTACACTTCCTAATTCATCATTCTCCGTGTGTGAAAATCTCTCTTCCCTTAATTTCACTCCAAAAATCAACTACAATAAACGAAACCCTAACTCTTCTTTGGTTCTTCTCCATAGTCTACAATAATGGTGAATCTCTTTCCCCGTTGTTTCTCTCTTTCAATTAAAGACGAAACCTCCTCTTGCTTTGGTTCTTCTCCATAGTCTAAAGCATAATGGTGAATCTCTTTCCCCCGTTGTTTCTCTCTTTCAATTAACGACGAAACCTCTTCTGTAACAATCGATAAACTCTCTTCCGATTGTTTCTCGCATCCAAGAAAAAAAAGAACCTACTCTAACAACAATAGGAGAATCGCTCTCAGCCGATTGTTCCCTCTCTTCCATAAGAAAAAGACTGAAGAAACGAAACGCAAAAAAGGGTATTCATGCTGTTTCCACTATTTCCAAAGAATGAAAGAAACAGGATTCTTCAGTTTCCACTATTTTTATCTCTTTTGGCGAATTATTCCAGGGAAAACAGTAAAACAGAAAAATCGAAAATTGTTAAGCCAAACTGCTTTACCTAGAGGTCCTCGACAGAGCTAACCTTTCCAATCAATCTTGGATTACCGATTTTGCAAGAAGGCAAGTTGTCACAAGGCACATGCGTCGTTCAAGAAACCGTCTCCTGCAAATTCTTGGAATACTTGAAAGAATGAGATTTTACAGCTGCCGAAGAATATTGGAGGAAGGAAGGGGAAGAAAAAAGCATCTCCACTAATCTGAGTCTATCCTATCGTTATAACACGGTAATATTCTTGATAACAATCTTGATTTGTGGAAAATAAAGAAGAGGCTGAAAGAAAGTGATCTTGGAAACCTAAGTAGGCTTTTGGTTCCATCTAACTTGGTAAAGAAAGATGTTTTGCCTCTTCTGAGTAGTGATTTAGTAAATGGGATTAAGAGTAAAAGGGGCGCTCCTGTTGTTTTCTGGGACGTTGATACTGAAACAACACATAATCTGGTTTTCAAGAAATGGGATAGTTCAGGAAGTTACGTCTTCATTGGTGGGTGGACAACTGAGTTTGTTCAGAGGAGGAGCTTAAAGGAAGGAGATGAGATTAGGATTTATTGGGATGTTCCAAATTCAAGGTTCAACTTTTCTGTCATCTATGGTGCCCGATAGTTCTGTTCCGTTTCATGCAAATGATGAAATTTTTGTTGGAATGAAATTTTCTGTTGGCTATAAAGGTTTTATCTGATACTGTAACTTTCAATTTTTAGTAATTGCCTGTTGAATAATGAACTTTATGGAGTATCGATTATTTTGGAATCCAGGTTTCTTTTTTTACCAACATTTTCAGTTTAAGGTTGGGTTAAATAATTGAGGGATATGAGAGCCTGTTCTATTGGCTGGTTAAGACCACCACTGAAAAATGAATAAGTTTTTTTCCCTCTGGATCTCTTATAAAATTAACTAAATAATAAAAATTGCCCTACAACAAAATATAATTTATTGAATGGGTTTCTTCACAAGGGAAGGAATATTGGATTTACATAGGAATATACTCGAAACTTTCATATTTTTGCACAAATTATTCCGAATGGGTTTAGACACCTGAAAATGTTAAGTTTTTCCTGGACTTATAAAAATTAATAAATAATAAAATTGCCTATCAAAATAATTTTATTGATTTTACAAGTCGAAGGATATTGGATTTCATAGGAATATATGATTTATATTAAATTTTCAACTTCAAAATATTAATTGGGGTGTATATTAAAGATTAACTTTTTTCCTTATTACATCTTTGGCTATGGTTTTACCTTAACAATATAATTAAATTTTAATTCAGTCATAATTTAATTATATTTTGTTTAGGTTAATCATAAATAGGAAAATAATAATAAAGTTCTGAATATGATGCCATGTAAAATAATTAAATTAATCAATGCAAAAGTATTAATTTACTTATAAATAAGTTAAGATTCATAATATAAGTTTTAATAGCATCATATTATAGCGAGTCTTTTGCATTGCTGATGTATAATTGGAAATTTAGATAGAGAAAATTAGGATTCTGATATGGACAAGTGGGGTTTTGATGGTTAG